GACTAAAGAGTGTGACGTGGCCCTTTAGTAAACTCAAGTCTATAATTAGCTCGGAATTGTTATTAACACATTACGACCCATCCATGCCGATCATCGTAGCAGCAGACGCTTCGGCATATGGCCTAGCTGCTGTTATTTCACATCAGTTTCCAGACGCGTCAGAAAAAGCCGTTATGCATGCATCCCGTACACTAACCCCAGCAGGAAAGAAGTATAGCCAGATAGAGAAAGAAGGTGTTGCTCTTGTGTTCGCTGTTCCCCGTTTCCATAAGTTTCTGTACGGTCGCAGATTCACGCGCCTCACAGATCACAAGCCTCTGTTAGTAATACTTGGTTAAAGTCTGGCATTCCAGCCCATTCTGCAAATCGTCTTCAGCGATGGGCGTTGGTGTTTGCATATTACTTCAATCCAATATCGACGCACTCTACAATTCGGTCAAGCAGACGCTTTGTCACGACTCATTAATGATCAAGTGGCGGCTGGGAAAAACATGATGATCGCATCTCTGTTAGTAGAAGACCACGCAGAATGTTATCTGACAACCGCAGTTAGCGCATTACCGGTGTCTGCAACAGATATACAAAGTGCTTCTAGAAACGATCCTATCATCAAGATGACGATGAAATATGTCACTAACGGTTGGCCGTCGAAAAAGTTTGAAGGTGACATCAAGCAACTGTATCAGCGGCGGGAGTCACTATGCATCGTCAACGATTGTCTGATGTTTGGTGAAAGAGTAGTGGTGCCAGAATCCCTTCGTGCAAAAGTGCTGAGACAGTTCCATCTTGGTCATCCTGGGATTAAACGAATGAAGTCCATAGCCAGGAGTTATGCATACTGGCCTCACATGGATTAACATGTCACAGCGTTGGTTGAAAAACGCATGCGGTGTCAGCAGGCGGCAAAGATGAATGCCGAAATTCCGCCGGTTTCATGGCCCAAACCTGAGAATCCTTGGTCCAGGGTACATGTCGACTTCGCTGGCCCAATAAATGTGACTATGTATTTAATTGTCGTCGACGCCTTTTCTAAATGGCCGGAAATCAGCCCCGTTATGCCGCCCACTACAACTAAGACTATGCAGCTCCTAACTGAAATTTTCTCACGAAAAGACATACCAGATGTGATTGTATCCGACAATAGCTCTCACTTCACCTCTTCCCAATTCCAGAATTTCTAGCCATTAAACACTTACGCTCGCCACCATACCACCCGCAATCGAATGGGCAAGCGGAAAGGTTTGTGGATGCGTTTAAAAGAGCATTTGTTAAGTCAAAAGTGTAGGGGACACCAGCTGACGCGTTACAAAATTTGTTCTACGTCGATCGAACAACACCAAATGAGTTATTACCACTGTAGAATCCTTTTTGAATGTTTCGTTTTTTGGAAAATCCCCCCATGTTTATATATTTTTGTTATGACATGACGGACTTTTTCTGTTGACATTTTTGGTATTTTATTTGATTCCAATTTGAGAATTTATCATTGTATATTGTTATTATTTCTATATTTTGTACTTATATTGAAGTTTTTATGTTTGCTTCTGAACTGTATATATGTTGTTTAAATTTGATCTTTAATATGGCCACAGCCATATTTGGATTGATACGGTGGCGGTTGGACTTAACGTCACTTATTCCGCTTTGCCTTGGATACTCCTCGGAGTAATTGTGACTTGGAAAGTGCATCAACTTCAGGTATTGCTTTGTATTTCCATCTTTTAATATAATATAGACCGTTTTCTCCTAGAATTGTTGTTTTTTTCGGACATTGGACTGGGAGATACGCGTTCGGATTGCACTTATTGGAAACCATTTGAACTGCTACGATAGAAAATCCATTTATAACCACAGCAAATTCCCCAGCTGAAATCCTGATGGGAAGAAGATTGAAAACGATCCACAGCCTGATGCATCCGACTAATGCACCCTCATCAGTAGAGACAAAGCAGCAAAGACAATCCGCTTATGAAGTAGGATGCCCTGTGTTTGCCCGCGACTACAGAACGAACCATGGACCTTGGGCAGAATCGAGAGTGGTCAGAAGAGTTGGTCGAGTTATGTATGAAGTATAGATAGGTGATAAATGGTCACGTCATAGAAATCAGATACGCAGACGGCTAGCCCCAGATCACCCATCAAGCGCAGAAAACCTTCCCTTTGACATAATTGCTTGATACCTTCAACCTACCGGCAGTCCCGCCACGAGAAGAAACTCAGCAGCAAGCTGTTCTTCGTTCCCGAAGCTATCCCCTCAGACAGCGGCGAACGACAGTCAAGATGCAATTCGACCCCAGGAGCACACTCTATTAAAAGGGGAGGAGTTTTGGGGATGTTAGATCCTGGGTCGGCTTGAAAAATAATCTTTCCAGTCACATTGGATGTTGTAACAGATGGGTGAGTTTTATGATGCTATGACAGGAAAGCCATATAAAACACACGTGTCGGTTAATGTTGGCCAAAAAATAACGAAAACGAATCGAAGAGACCACGGTTCAACTAGTGGGACAAGCTGAAACGGTAAAAGCCTACGTAAGTCAGTTCTCAACGTGCTGGACAACACACTTTAATTAACTTTGTTTGGAATCGTGAATCCGTCAGCGTCAGATGTCCATTAAAACCCTGGAAGCACCAGATGATGGCAGTCACGGATTCATGATTTCAATGAGACTGAACGATCTACACAACCCTATAGTGAATATTTGATCAACCTGCTTAAAAACCCAGGCAGGATGAAGTACTCAAGACAAGAGGTGGAATGACTATGCATATTAAGTGCCATTCCAGAACTGTAATACTACACAGTACTGAAGTAACCGAGATAACAAATTCATGTTGGTGTTGCCTCAGTTAAAATGTCACAAAATACTTAATTGTAGGAATTTACTGGCCCCACACAAGTACAAAGGCCGAAAAAGGTTAGATATTTTAGGCGCTATCACAACTACCACAATTTGAGTTTGACTAAATGCCCCTAGTTGGAAACTTCACCATAGTGCCCCTAAATCTCAGTAAGCAGGTAACGACTCTTAATGGGCGGTTCTGTGGACAGGTTATCATGGCCATCATAAGTTTGAGACTGATTAAACATACAGATGATGGAAAACTCTCAATATTAGATTATCTGCTAACGGACGATCAGCTTGTATTCAACGGTGTACGACTCCATGAACCAATAGGAAGTAGTGATCACTGCACAGTCATCTCTAACTCAGTTACAAACGAAATACTTTGGAAGGACGAGAATGCTCCCCTCCTCCGCCACACTATGACAAACTACACGACCTTGAGATAGCATTTTATACACTCCACACGGTCAATAGGGTAATAGACGCTAACAGTAGATGATCATTACAGAGCACTGAGAGACATCGTTCAGAATACGATCGTACACAATGTACCTCGAGAAAATAGCAGACCTGAAAGGAGAAAATCATAAGTTAGTCTAGGTACATAATGCTTACTAGAAGCGTTAATGAGAGCCTCACACAAGAGGACAATCCCTTCGAAAGATTTTGATAGGGGCTTTTCTTTGGGGTCGAGGAAAATGTGCAACTCGTGGCGAGTATCCAGTTAACTCTGCTGTTAGTACTATAGGGAACCATTCCATGAGCCGCCAGAATGTGACAACATCCACCAAAAACAGTGACCATAAGCTATCAGTTCACCTGTATGTGTCCTGTTCACATACTAACCAGATTTACGCAAACTTCCAGGAGGACTCAGAAAAATGCTCCCCCAATCTTCATAGGAAGAGACAGGTAAGAGCAAACCTTCTACAGACCAGTCTCAGTACTGCTAATACTGACGAAGATGATGGAAGGACTTGCCAGTGAAAAAATGAGAGACCCTCCCAGGTAAAATCTTCTTCCTGATATTTATTCATGACTCGTTTCATAAGATTACCTCAGTGACATAAAGCTATGCATACGACGAAAAGAACTTGGCACTGAGAAACAAATACAATACCAAAGTTCGAAGCGACAGGAGACAATTCCAGACGAAACTAGCCACCAGAATAGAGGCAAACCCGAAAAATCTGTTTAGGTTCATGTCCAAAAGAAAACCTACTAATCAAGGGTTGTGCCCCCTAAAATAGCCTAACGGAGAAGACCTCACCAACCTAGAGATGGCCGAGATCTTCAACACCCATTTTTCTGATCAATTAAACCAGGCGCCTACATGTTCAGAGTATTACGCCAACCCAATGCCAGCTGACGGCTTAGGGAACATTCGTATCACTCCTGACCTAGTATTAAGGAAACTAAAATCCTTACGCCCAGGTAAGTCACCAGGTTGTGACAAAATCCGTCCTATAGTCTTGCAACAGTGCGCTGAAGCCCTCTGTTCACCGTTATGCAACCTGTTCAGGCATTCACTGGAGTCACACCAATTCCCAGCGGAATGGAAACAAGCTACTCTCTCTCCAATCTTCAAAGGAGGAAATAGAAAGGACCCAGCCTGTTACAGACCAGTCGCACTACTACCTATATTATCAAAGGTTATGGAAGGGCTAGTGGACGAACAAATGAGGGAGTACATGGATAAGAATAAAATACTCCATGAAGCTCAACACGGGTTTCGGAAAGGCAGGTCGTGTGCATCTAATCTTCTCATCGCATGGGGCAGTTGGACATCCTGCTTGGACCGTAAAATACCAGTGCACGTAGTATTTCTCGACTTCGCAAAAGCCTTTGACACAGTACCTCACGCACGCCCAATCAAAAAGGTTGTGGAAATGGGCTTCACTGACCCACTCGTATCTTGGCTCAGAAACTACCTTGAGAATAGAAAGTTTCGCACCAAGGTAAACAGGGTGCACGCGAGTTGGAGAGTATCCACTTCAGGAGTTTCACAGGGGACCATCCTAGGCCCACTTCTCTTCCTGATATTCATTAACGACCTGCTAAGCTTAGTTAGCTCACCGGCACTGATCTACGCAGACGATGCGAAGATCTGGAGGTCCATTAGAAGCGAAGAGGATTCGACTGAGCTTCAAAAGGACCTTACATCCATTGAGAAATGGGCAGTGAAAAACGGTTTAAAACTCAACCAACCGAAGTACCACGTCATGCATTTCCTGCCTCATATGACGCAAACCACCTACACTCTCAATGGAAGTCCGCTCCCTAATGTTTCCTCAGAGCGCGATCTTGGTTTAATAACCACAGAAAGCCTCCACACGAGTCCGAACTATGTAGGGGATGCAGCCAAGGCAAATGCGACTCTTCACTTTATGCGAAGACAGCTTTGTGCTATCACCCCGAAATTATTTTTAACCCTCTTTAAGACGTACGCGCACCCACACTTGGAAGTTCACAAAGTCATCGCACCCCCTCTGCTTAAAAGAGACATTAATCTCTTGGATCGAGTGCAGAGACGAGTAACAAATGGGTGATAGGGTTGAAAAATAAACCCTACGACGATAGACTCCAGCTCTTGGGATTATTCCCACTGAGCTACAGGAGAATCAAAGGTGACCTGATTATGGCGTACACCATATTAAACACGCCAAACCATCCCAATGTGAGCATCTTACCGATGCATCACCACCACTCCCCTCGAGGCAATCCCCAAAAGATTGCACATCAAAGAGCAAACACTCAGGTTCGTGCACACTTTTTCTCATTGCGAGTCGTCGCAACTTGGAATGCTCTCCCAGCCGACGTAGTTACAGCCCCCTCAGTGGACTGCTTTAAGAAGAGACTTGATAATCACGTACTCACATGCGGACTATCATCTTCCTCTTGGACAAGCTGTGCCTGATGCCTATCTTGAGACCTGCTAGTTGTTTTCATTGCCATCTCCTCAGATCACTCAATTAATCTATCTCGCCTATTCCTCTCCCTTGCTTACACTTCGGTCCTCTCTCACAATCTTCACTACCAATTAATAAACTAAATTCATCTATACATTACTCAGTTCTGAAATTTTACTCATATTATCATTTTAATTTATCCTTATTACCCTTATTACTCTCCACATTGCAACTAACTGATCTCAGGTCTGTTACTGTGACGGCTGCTGGTATCCAGAAACCCTACTGCCCTGAAACAAACGTTTTCATTCAAATCCCGAGACATACAAACTCACAACCAACTGCCAACTGACTAGAATTAGACAGTCGAGTGGCTAGACCTCCATCCACTGAACATTACCGAAAACCTGGAACCGTACCGAAAGAACAAGAATCGAGCGCGAAGAAATC